AGGAAGTGGAAGGCAGAACTTCCGGGAGAGAGAAAGGAACCCTGGGAGAAGGTTCAGACTGTGGTGATTAGCCAGGGGACAAGGGACAAAGGAGACGAATGGATGGACATGAACAGGGGCAAAGAGGTAGAGCCATGTGGTGGGACACAGTGCTGGGTTAGTTGGGTTAACCTAGAAAGCTGGCTGGGGATCTGCGCAGCTTTAAAATATTAAAAAACCTTTGTGTCATTATTCATACTGCTGGTGGGTCTGAAAGTCCCGCTGTATTCACATCCCATTTTAATCCCTAGACTCTATTTTTGATCTACCAAATTCATGTTCTAGTTCACTGATGGGACTTTTATTATACATACTACTATTTAAATAAATAAAGTATAAAATTATTAACTGTATTAAAGGTTGCTATAATCAGATAAGATTCTGAGTTAAATTATGTCAATTTATTTTCCATTTTTTTGCTTAATGTAATAACTTAAATCATTTTTGCTTCAGGCTCATCTGCTTTTTTCTCTACTAAATAAGCTAACTTAACTCCCACTCAACTGTAGTAATTTTATCATGAAATATATGTTCTTAAAGCTCATCTTTTATAAGAGGTCACTATTTAAAATATCAATAATGCTGATAACAACAAAAAGCATCACATTTCTTTCCTCCCTTTTCACTCTCACCCTTCATTTATGCATTTGCTTTTCTGTCATGTGATTTTTATGAAATGCAACTCAGCTCACTTTCTTCCTCATTTTGTATTTCTCAACTCCTTCCTATCCATTAGCTGACCCATAACTTGAGCCCCATTGATCTTTCAACCATTTGTACATGCTTCTCTTAGGACACCCTAAGCCACACTACTCTGCACTGGTACCCAAGCATGCCGTGTTCACTGCATCCCAAGGCTGGGCATGCACCTCCACTACCCCTCAGAAGTCCTCATGAGAGAGCTAAAAATCCTTGACTCCTATTTTTCAATTCCCTCCAACTTACATCTTTCTTGTTCCTTTAAGTCATCTCTGTGCACTTCAAACCAAAGACTTCCTCATTCTCTGAACTCCAAACAATGTTCTTCGACCTTCACCTTAATGACTTATGCACTTGAGTTTCAAGTTTCATTATTCTTTATCTGAACATTTTCCTTGTTTTTATCTTACCTTTGAGAGAAAATTGTTGTTTGAGTATTTCTTTCACTCCACTTCTCTGGGAGCATCATGTAAGCCCATAACAACTGAACAAATCTCCTGCATAGAGTATCTAGGGTGCATTTAAGATTCTATACCCTTGCTTTCTGGGCCAGTAAGACAGACTTCAGTTGCAGAAAGGGAGAGATGTTTCCTTTCTCATTCTAAAGCAACCCTTCTGACTAATTAACGAAATATGTCAAAATAGCTCCCAAGGAGAACACATATGTCAGCCAAAGAAATAAGTACTTGAAAATTAAAAGAACCACTTGGTCCACTTCTCAATTAAGATTAAAAACAAAGAGAAAGAAAAAAGGGAAACAGAAGAAACAAGTCAGAATTCAATCTAGAATAAATATAAAAGTCTCTAGTTAAGATGTCAGGATGAGTGTTTAAGCCCCTGACTGGTGAGATCAAGGCCATTCAGTATAAATAGCCTCTTTAAACCACATTTCCAAAATTTGCCATTTGCTAACAGCCAAGTCCATCAAGGAAAAACGAGACATAAAAAGTCTACAGAACAATAAAAATGATGAGAAAAGGAGGCTTTGTTGTGGTACAAATAAGTCTGATACAGGTTCTTGAAAAGCAGTACGCAGGGCTAAGTGGGAGCATACACAACCAGCACAGGCAAGGCCTTTGGTCAATCTCTGGCACCACAAAAGTAAGAGGGAGAAAAATAAAATGCACCAGGATACTACTGGTACTCTGTGGGGACGGCCTCATAAACTACAAAGCATTGCTTGAAACCAGCCTCTCTATGCTTTGTATTTGCTGTCTCTCAAAGGAAAAGGTAGCAACCTCTTACTCAAAACTGGACGATAAACAGTACAGCCCTTGCCCTGCCCAAACCTACAGTGACAAAAGCAGTTAAAGCAAAGAATACTGAGAAAGACTCACTTGTCTTCAGCTCATGCTATCCCTTTGAGAACCAAGCTCCTGGATAGGAATGGTGTTGCACACCCATAAGCAAGTTTTTCAGAGGCTGAGGCAAGAGAATTGTGGTTTTCAGGATAGCTGAGACTACAGCTGTTTCAATAGTAGTGGTGGTGGTCATGAAAACAAAAAGGAGGAGGAGCCATGTTCCTATGGCCCTGATTCATATGAGAGGCATCCAGAAGTAAAATGCTACCTGAAGTTGCTTCTCACGTTGTAGGTAATCAACATTAATATCCTTTACTACTTTTGACATTTGAGGGCCGTCTAGCAGGGGACAAACACACTGCGGTTTGTGAAGTGCTGGTAGAAGATGGGGTATGAGGCACAGGACACGGGAATAATGGGGTGGTCCGCATGTTGGCAGCATGTTGGGCAGCAGCTGGCCTGGTAGTCACTGATCATGGAGTGGAGCAAAAGGGACTCAGAGAACAGTGGACTATAGTCACGAGTCAGAGGAGATTCAGAAGGAATCTCAACCAGCTGAAAACGGGCAGTGTCACTGGGAACCCTGACCCCTCGCCTGGCTTTCCCTGTGCACACATAGAAAAGGAAAGAGAATTCACAGTGAGGCAGGGAAAGGGATTTTTACTGACAGATGCAAAAGAAACCCCAACTTCTGCCACAAACAACAATAACAACAACAAAAGAGAAAGAAAGAACAAAAAAAAAAAAAAGAGAGAAAGAAAGAAAAGCAAAGACCCTTGGGCAAGAACTTTTACAATCATCTTGTTTCTAGGTTGTATTCCCTTAGACGGAAACAAAGAAAAACCTGGGCCTGGAATAGAGGAAGATGGTAGGAATGTATTCTCCTCACTGTCAGACTAACCAGACATAAAAAGAAGGATTGGACTAGGGGAAATAAATGAAAAATTATGACTCATGGATGAAGAATGATATTTTTTAGAATGCCCCTGAGTTTAGGTTAGGTTAAAAACAAAAAATTAAAACTACAAAAAAGATAAAGGAATGAACTATTTTTTCATTTTTCTCCACAAGAAAACATTTCAGTATGCTTTTTAAAAATAATTTCATATTTTAATGTGCCTAACCAAGTATTAAATGAATTCTAGAATAAAAACTAAAAAAAAAAAAAAAAATGAATTCTATACAAGACCAAATAAGAGGTAATAAAACATTTCCAAATAAAATAAATGACCTCTTTGGTTTTCTTTATCAGCTACAAATGAAGGGTGTCTTAAAATTCTAAAAATAGAACCAAGCATGCTAGTTGTGTATGTACGTTTTAAGAAGTAAAATCACCACACAGAAAGGCACGCAGGAAGCACACTAATGCCGTTAAAGTATAATTGGACATGCAGGAACAATCACTGTGCTGTGCTGTAAGGGGAGCTGTCGGCCCACAGAGCGCAGCACCAGCCTGGCTCATCCGCCAGCCTCAGAGACCCACTGCCAGGAAGAAGCAGCCATGTTCCAACACTCCACATCCCTGATGCTGATGAGCTAACTGACCTGTTTTGTCTCCAGGAGCTTGTCTCTGGTGATTAACTGCTTACAGTGAATACTGATTATATGAGAGAACAGTACTGAAGAACCAGAACGACTGTCCTGTGTCCTCTACCTGCAACCCTGACTTATCTTTGCATCTAGAAGGTGCTAGGCAGAGTGACTGCAAAACAGAATCAAGACAGGCACCCCCACTACCTCCACCTCAAATAACAGATATATCCCCCACCTTTTAGTAGACAGCACAGTGGACAGACAAGATATCCTCTTTAACCTCTGGACTGCAAGTGAAATACACTTACAATAAAGAGAATGTCTTAAAGGTTAGTAATAATCGTACAGACGAACCTGCAGCAAGAGTTTGAGAGTTAGCAAACTATCTGTGTCCTCAGCCTCAAGTCCCAGGTTGAAAATTTACCCAAAATTGTCAGTTCTCAGGAATGGCACCTCAGATTAAAATCTTCTCACTGGGGAGTCTACAAGAATTTGCTCCTGTTCTAAATCCTAAGTGCTCGTTAAATTGCAAGCACTGCAAAACTGGAGACCATTAAACAATATAAGGCAGCGAGTGATTAAATCCACCATACACACATTCAAAGCAGCTTAAGCTACTTTTTAATTAAAAATAAAGTATCATTGGCTAAATTCAGATGTCTTGGCTATACAGAAACTAGAAGTGTCCAAAATGTAAAGTGTTGCTGAGGAAAGCAACCTACAAAAAAGACACACAAGGTAGGAGGTGGGCTGGGCAGGAGCTCTGAATACAAGGTATCATCCTGACCCGAATTAGAAAGTGCATATTGAGAAGTTTCCCTGAGCTGCAAGGTGAGGACACCATGTGGCTGCCACTAAAGTTTATTAGCAGAGGCCTCCAAGGAGACAGGTATTCACCTTCTTGGCAGGGGAATGAGTTAAATAACAGCTCTGCAAGACACGAAGGCATCTGAGATGTATAGATGGCTAAAGGAAGCATTGCTGCTATTTTTAAATACATCTTAAGCTAACCTATAAACAATTCTTGAAATAACCATAAGCTCTTGGTGAAAGAACCCAGGATCTTCTGAGTTAATGGCATCACTTGAGATAGAAATTTTTACTGCAAAGTTAGAAGTAAGTAAACATTGCAGTTTTTAAGTTGTTCCTGTTTGTTTAAAGTCAAAAAAAGGCCAGAGAGCTTAGTCACCTTCAGGCAAGAGGCCAAAAATTTGATGATCAGATTTAAGGTTGGGATGATATCACTCACTATGAAGTCTTGATTTTCTTTCTGAAGCATGAGAAACTTTACTGGTAAAACCTTACCTCACCCACAGCTTTTTTAATTTTTAATTGTTTTCCTCTCTCTCGGGAATGACTTTCCAAATATGCTTCCTGTCATGTATGTAAATTTTGTAAATTTGCTTTCAGCTTTAGACGTGGCCTTACCTAAAAAGCTTGCCCTAAAGTAAAGAACTGGCACTTGGTAGCTACAGGAGTACAGGACATGATACTCGTATTTAATCACTTCGGACACTGCAGCAGACCCCGTCACTTCACAATCGTCCATCGGCAGCTCTAAATTCTCCTGAAAAAAAAAAAAAAAAAGCAGAGACTAAGCCGAACTGCGTTTATGAATTTAAAAAAAAAAAAAAAAAACAAGTGCAAACATAGGGAGAGAAAGATGAGATTTTCTTCACGCAAAGTAACAGTTAAGTAAATCAACAAGGCTATGAGGTAAGAAAAAGGGAGTCACCCATATAATACTTAACATTTGAGTCCTAGGTAAACAGTAAACCCAGAAAACATTTGCATTAAGTAATTCCAGATTGTTTTGGGGAAACAAAGCAGCTCGGGGTAGACAAACAATAGGGAGAGGGTGGGGTAAGGTAAGGTCGGGACAGCACACACAACTACTGCAGCAGCAGCTCCTCTCTGTGATTTTAGCAACAAGATGATGGCTACACCAGCTACCTCCTTTACCTGTGAAAGCTAGAAACATTCTAACAACTGAACAGAGCCTATGAAATGTCACTCGCTTCTCCTGTGCTTGCCCAGAAATGACTCGCTGTAATCTGAGCAATCCCCAGAACCACTTTAAATAAGAAAGTTACTTTGCAAGAGTCTGAGTTTGTTAGGTATATTTCAAATCCCGAGCGATTATTTTCTTCATTATTGTATTTATCTTTGGTACAGTTCAACAGTGAATCTTGGTTTAGAGTAGAGTCATCAGCACTTATTAACATTAAGTTAAACAAGGCTATGTAAGCAGAGATGGCGAAAGTCATTCCCCATCTCACCTAGTCACTCCTCACTGGATGGTTCTTTTTTTACCATGCAGGAGCCTTTCTTAAGAAAACATCTTAATGCTTAGAGGCAATTGATTGGACATGTTGACTCAGGCTTTCTGAGTCCATCCATGTGGACTTATTTATTTGGGCTGGAGAATTTCTCCTTTGAAATTAAGGAAGGAAGACGCAAGTGGGTTTGGCTCATTTGAGCTTCTCATTAAAACAGCAACAATGAACAATCAGAAAGAGCTACAGAAGAGATGCAAACTTTATCAATATGAAAGCAGGTTGCCCGTGTAGATAAGTAAGATCTGCTTTCCAGATCTGTATCTCCTTTCCTGATTTCCCACTCAAAATCAGTTCACTGGGAGACACTACAGGAGATAACTCACAATGGGAGCTATTTATAAAATAGTTGTCACTAAACATCTGTAAATACTATCAATTAAATACAAAGAATTAAATAACCAGAGAGAAATCATTAAACTAACTATTCCAGATACAATTAATACATAAGCAAAAGAGGTATTCTTTCCCTTTTTATTTAATTTTAGCCATGAGTATCAAGATCTGTTGCAATAAAATTCTAACTAAATTCTTTCTCTTTGGTCCACAATTGGGTTATTTCACATTTGTAATTTGTTTCTCAACTTAATAAAGTGATTGTAATTTGTTGTTATGGATTGAATCTTAAATGTCCCATAGGGCCATATATTAAAGGCTTGGTTGTCAAAACATGGTACTATTTAGAGGTACAAACCTTAAAAGAGGTAGATTTTCAGCAATTTTTGGTGGTGATACAACTTGAAACAGCTTTTTGCTGAGGATAGTTCATCAATATTTCTTAAATTTAAAAACATATCTACTTATTGATACACTGGTTTCACTGTTGGAAATTTGGACCACAGAAAAACCAGATCATAGGACATGGACGCTTGGATATTTGTTGCAGCTGGATTTAGTAGAAGAATATTACATAATCGACCTAAAATATTTAGCAATAAGGAGGGACTGTTTTAAAAATGGCAGCTCTGAGACAGTTCTGCAATGGCATATGGTAAAAGCACTAAGTCTACAATGAGCAGAATGAGCAGAATGAGCAGAAGATGCAAAATGTCTGTTAATGAAAATCTCTAGGACTGTATTAACATGGTTCAGTGAAAGGAGAGAGAGGGTGGAGAAGAGGTACAGATGTGTGTATGCTAAACATCTGCTAAACATGATCACTTGCTCATTTAAAATGCTTACAAACCTGTTGAAGAGAAGAGCTGAACGCTGAGACTCTCACTGCTTGTGTATCTGTACAATGTAATTCTTTTTAACTTTTTTAAATGACTAGGTATATTAGTCAGCTTTCCAACAAGACAAAACAGCTGAGGAAAATCCACTTATCCTAGTTTCAGTCCACAGTTGTGTGGCTCTACTGCCTGCGGGTTTGTGGCAAGGCAACATGGCCACGCCCTCCATGAGGCCCCTGTTTCATAGCTACATAGAGCGGTGGGACGTCATCTCTAAGAAGCTACGGTAGAGCCGGCATTTCACCGCTGCAGTTGCCTAAAACTAATCCCCACACATTGGTTGTGGGGAACTCTCTCTTGGCTCTCCTGTGTTACTCTCTTTTTGTGGACTGAAAAGATGTTTATTCACTTCAGCTCAGGAAAAGTCACTCAACAGCTGTACTAAACCACTTCTCAATTATTACTTCACTGAATTTTGGCTGATACTCAAAACATAATATTTTTAGTTTAATGTTTTGCTTTTTTCATTATGTAGTATTTTAAATATTTGGATTTACTTAATTTGATATTAAGAGTTATTAGAAAAAGAACTCAAAATACATTTATTTTTCTCAAAATGTTACTAAGTCATTAAACGAGAAGAAACCTATGTTCAGAAAATTATATTCATTCATGGAGCTAAAAGATTAAGCAGTTCACATTAATTATAGAAACCTTGATTTTACTAAATTCAATTAACAATAAGTTGACAGTGATCTCTCATTTAGTAAATCTGATATGAATTAAGCTTAACAACTAAATTCCATTAACTAGGGATCATGCTGAAGACTCTTCATGATATTTTATTGAAAGCAAATCCAAATAGAATGTTGAGCTTTAGAAATGAGATCTGTATCTCTATTTATCCTACAGGGAGAAGTAATTACAGGAGAATGTATACTCCTATCACCGATCATCTCTGTTACTGTCACTGAGCAGACCTAAGAATGAGCTGTGTTCACAATGGCCCTCAAGAAAGGGTCAACTTGGTTGCGTTCTGCCAGGTCTTGGATTTAAACCAGTGGCTCAACAACCACAGCCATGACTCAAGGAGGGACACTGGCCCAGCGCTACCTGCAAGGCTGTCTTGTACTATATTCATGAGCAGTCAATAGAGACTCCGATCACAATAGCAAGATACGCTATGGAATAAGCCGTTTCCTGAACCAGCAGCCATATGGTATTTTCAGAAGCGAAGGCTGATGAGGCCTTTTGACATTCCCAGTGAAAAAGCAGTTATTTAATAAGAAATGTTATGATAATATTTGAATAATATGTGGGGTTTTAATTAACCAGCTCTCGTGTTTCCCATGGCTCATCATTTTACCATGGATGGTCTTTTTGCTCTCTTAATCTCTGGAGTGACTTTTGTCATGACCTCCATAGCTTTTAAGCTAGTGACTATCACAATTAGACATGCTTGTGCTGTGTCTCACACATAAAGTGGGCGGTGTACCGAGCAAAGTGGGCAGCACATGGATGGTTCATGGAAGAGCCCCCTTTCCCAGGACTGTTATCAGCAGAACTACCAACATAAAAAGGGAAAGGGAGTTAAGATGCTTTGCTCCAATTTTTTTTCAATTTTTTTTATTAGTTACATTTTATTAACTCTGTATCCCAGCTGTATCCCACTCCCTTATTCCCTCCCAACCCCATCCTCCCTCCCTCATCTCCTCCCTGCCCCTTTCCAAGTCCACAGATTGGGGAGGACCTCCTCCCCTTTCATCTGACCCTAGCTTATCAGGTATCTTCAGGACTGGCTGCAAAGTCCTCCTCTGTGGCCTAGCAGGACTGCTCCTCCCTTGGGGGGTGGGGAAGTTAAAGAGCATACCATTGAGTTCCTGTCAGAAATAGTCCCTGTTCCTCTTACTATGGGGAACCAATTGATTACTGAGCTACCATGAGCTTCGTCCAAGTAAAGGTTCTAGGTTATATCCATACATGGTCCTTGGTTGGAGAAACAGTTTCAGAAAAAAACCCTTGTGCCCAGATATATTTGGTTCTTGTGGGGCTTCTGTCCTTTCCATGTCATACTAACTCCCCTTCTACCAAAGGTTTGGTTATGAGTCTTAGTATCTGCTTTGAAATGCTGCTAGGTAGAGTCTTTCAGATGCCTTCTGCAGTAGATCCTGTCATATGTCCAATGCACATCCCATTTGTCTTTCTGCATCATCATGAACAATGTGGGTTCCCACGAAGAGGAAGATTATCCAGTGCAAAATTAACTCCTCCACTGCAGACTGAGTGCTGAAGGATGAGACAGGAGGGTGGGACACAGAGAGCTAGCAGAGTGCATCTGGCAGTTTTCTGGATGTTTATAGCTATCCCAGTTCTTATTTCCTGAAAGACCACACAGAGACAGCAGCCCTGTTAACGCCTGGGGCCAGGAAGCCTGAGTGCAGGGTACAACTGTGGAGGAGGCTGTCAGATTATCTAAGTCCATGCTAGACAGGCATCTCCTGTGCTGAGAAGAAATGCCACGTCCCAGCACCCTGCATGTTAAAGGCCATCAGCCCTTCTATCATCACAACAGTTTCCTTTCCTAGTACCAAGAGCAAACGGAAGAGGTGCCATACAGCCTTTTTTAAGGGCATGTTCCTTTCGTTTATGATTCTACATATCTAAGTGTGAGAATTAGCAGGAGGAGAAACTTAAAAGTCTGAAATTCCTTATATAAATAGTGACTGACTAAAGGAAGATTTTCAGGTATTTTACAGTTCAAATGTCAGTTAGATGAGTTTCTTTTCAGTTGCCTTTTACATGTTACATAAGAAAGCAGCAATGGTTGGGCTGGAGAGATGGCTCAGAGGTTAAGAACACTGGATGCTCTTCCAAAGGTCCTGAGTTCAATTCCCAGCAACCACATGGTGGCTCACAACCATCTATAGAGAGATCCGGTGTCCTCTTCTGGTGTGTATGGCAGAACAGTGTTTAAACAATAAAGAAATCTTAAAAAATAAAAATAAAAATAAAGCAGCAATGGTAGGATTTACATAACATAATTCATTTGTTCCTTTGCT